CTTTCCTTTCCTTTCCTTTCCTTTCCTTTCCTTTCCTTTCCTTTCCTTTCCTTTCCTTTCCTTTCCTTTCCTTTCCTTTCCTTTCCTTTCCTTCCCTTCCCTTCCCTTCCCTTCCCTTCCCTTCCCACCTCCTCCACCTTCAGCCAATCCTAAACCAGATGACACCAACATGCAATGGCCCAGTGCCAGTCACGTTTGCACTTTAGCAGGCTCCAGCCACTCATGGAATTATTTAGGCTGGAAAAGCCCTCTAAGACCATGGAGTCCAACAGTTCCCCAGCACTGATCCATGTCCCCAAGTGCCACATCCACACAGTTTGTAAATCCCTCCAGAGTGGGGACTTCATGGAAAGCTGTGCCAGGGCTGGACAGCCCTTTCCATGAAGAAATGTTCCCTAATATCCAACCTGGACCTCCCTTAGTGCAACTGAAGGCTGCTTCCTCTTGTTCTGTCACTGGTCCTTGGCAGAAGAGACCAAACTCTACCTCCCAGTCAGGGAAGGGGACAAAGATCCCATCTGTTCCCCAAAGCAGGGGACAGATGCCCCTCAAGTGTACCCAGCCTATCTGAAGAGCTTTGCCACTGCTCCTCTCCCTAAGATGTGCCAGCTACTTCCCACCAGCTTTGGGCACAAACCCCTGCTTCCAAAGGGTGACTGCATCCCAATTTTCAACAGACTTTCAGTTTGATTTTTCTTTTTTTTCCTTGGCTCCCCTCAACATATCCAACACCAGAAAAAAAGTGGCTGCCAAAAGGGAGGAGGAGAGGCTTATCCACAGCAATATTTCTGAGGAATTTGGGTTGTGCACTTAGTTCCAGGGCACTTTACCTCGTCTGGGTCTGAAAGTTTGAATTCCCAGCCATCGCCCGTCCAGCTGATGAAGGATTGACAGGACTTGTCAGTGAGCAGTTCCAGCAGGAATTGCCACAGTTGGATGGGTCCACTGCCTAGGAAGACAAAGGAAACACAGGATATCAATGCCAGGAAAAGCACAGCTCATTCTATCACAGAGGGGGAAAAATTCCCACTCAAAACGTGCTCACTGAATAAAATAAAGCCTTCTCCTGTCAAAAAGAGCCACCAGCAGCCACAGGGCAGGAGCTCAGCTGGGAGTTAAACACTACAGGTAACAGAGCTTCCTATCTGCAGGAAGAACTGAATATTCATGCCCTGGAATGCTTCACGTTGAGTTACATAAATAGGATTATTTTTCTGGCACACAAACAGGAGGAGTCACTGCCTTGGCACCGGAGCAGCACCAACCCCTCCGTGCCAAAGAGCCGCCGGCCATGGCTGAACTCGGGCAGACTCCACTTCCCGACCTTGACTCTTTGCTCCGTGCTGCTGATCGAGATAAGGGGGACCCGAGAACGAGAATTCCTTGGCCTCGTTCCAGGGCGTGTTGCTGCAGGAATGGGCTCTGCTGGCTCGTGGGGAGGGCGGGGGCACTCAGAGCTCCCCGGCCCAGCATGTCCTCATCACCACCTTGGCACAGCCTCAGCAGATCCATGAGGAGCCTCCCGGCGGCTGCTGCTCCCCTCACCCAGCTGGGGGCAAGTGGAGCATCCCATGCCATGGGCATTCCACCTCTCCTTCCACTCCCGGTCTCCATCTCCCCTCCCATCACTCACTTTGGCCATCACCGCTTTGTCCCAGTGCATCCACTGGAGTTTGGCTGGAGTCATGGAGAAGTTTTGAAATACTTTTCTCTTCCTTGGGCTTGTGTCCCAATCCAAGGTAGAGGAGAAGCCCTGGAGCTAAAATCTCTTTGATGAGCAACTTCCAAATATTGCACTTAGCTGTAGGCAAGGCGTTTTGGGAGAGACCCTGCCATGGTTTAAACCCAGCTTGAAATAGATCACCAATAATGACAATAATTATAATGAGACAGCCAGAGGAGAGAGGAAATGATTTATCCCACAGGGAATTGCACAGTCTGGATTAGCTGGGGTAATCCCAGTGCTGACAGCACTGAGCAAATCTTCAAGCAGGGAAAATATGAGTTATGGGCTCAGAAAAAGGGATGGAGCCCAGCCTGTTTCCAGGAATAACAATGGATGCTGCCCGAGCTGTGGCCATGGGATAATCCATGGGAGGGAAGGGAGGGCTGCTCCCCTTCTCCACAAAGTTCAAAATTACTCAAAAGCTGCTGGGGATGAGGAAATGAGAGAGTTGGCTCCAGGAATCACCGTGTCCCATCCAGCCCTTCCCAAATTCCCTCCTGTTATCCCTGTGGAAGCTCTCCAGGCGTTTGTCGGCGCCAGGCCTGGGGGTTATCACAGCCACAGGCAGGGCAAGGCAGGGAGCTCCTGGCTCCTTCTGCTGGAAATGGGAAAGGACTCGGCAGGGAAAGGCTCCAGCCCGTCGCTCCTCTGGAGCCTGCCAAGATGTTGACTCCACAACTGCACTCTGCAGTGGGGATGGAGCCGGGTTATCCACGCCAAACTGAGGCAGGAAATTCAGATGACGCCTTTGCCTCTTGCTGAAAAGGAAGAGCAAAAAGCCTGGCCTGAAGTGCCACCGCATCTCCAGGCTCGGGTCTATTTATAGCAGTGAGATCTACATGCAGAGGAAACACTGGGGAAAAGGTGTAGTGGCTGCCTGAGGTTTTCCACAGGTGAATTCCCCAGGGGATGTGTTCTCTTGGCCCATCTGACCTTACACCAACTCCCCCCACACAGCCAGGGAGCATCCAACACCCAAACCAAGTTAACAGAGACATAGCCCAAGGAGTCCAAGGCCAGGTCCATCCCCTCCCATTGATTTCTCTCCTGCCCAACTGAAGAATAAGGATTTTTAGTTGATTCCTTCCCCAAAATAGGAGGGATGGAAATTCATCACCTGGGTGCTGGGTTCTTGGGGGAGGAACCCTCAAAACAACCCTGGGCCATCCTGGCCCTGCAAGATCTTTGGAGGTTCCAGGCTCACTAACCCTGAGCCAATGGCCAGTGCCATTCCTGTTCGGTTGCCAGCTGGCAGGGAGAGGTGTTGGGGAACCCAGGAATTCTTGTCCTCTCTCCAGCAAGCAAGGTAGAGCTCCTGCCAGTGCCCCCAGAGCCACTCTGCTGGGTATTTTGGGATTTCCAAGGAGCTGCTGTCATCCTTGGAACAGGGATTCCCAAGGTCTATTCCAAGCTGCCTGCAGGACAAGCGTAAAACCCCAAATTCCTCTCTCTGGACAGGCAATTATGTGAGGAATGTGTTTATGCAGGGCTCCAGGCATGTCCCAGCTCTGTAAACACCCCCTCCCTGCCCGAGGGGGAGGCAGCCGAGCCTGGCAGATGTGGCACCTGAGATGGCAGCGAGGTGGCAGGAGCCAAAGCCCAGCACATGCCCAGGCCTGTGCCCCAAATCAGCACTGGCAGGGAGGAGAACAGAGCAGGGAGCAGTGCTGGAAGTCGGGGCATCATCCTCTGCAGCTGTAATTAGTGCTGGGAGGGGGGTCTTCACAAAGGAGCCACTCTGCAGCCAGCAAGGAGTAGAGAATATCTTCCCATAGGATTTCAAGGTGGCTCATGCAGCAGTGCCACTCCCCTCAATGTCACAGGGTGAGCAGGAAGCTCCCAGGCTTGTCCCTGCACCCCAAACCTCCTCATCCACAGGAGCTGGGAGCAGCTCCATTTTCCATCCCTTCTGCTCCAACCCTTTCCCTCATCCCAGCCAGGGCTGGAAATCCCCATCAGGATGCCAGGTTGGGATCACTCCATGGTACAAGCACACACAGCCAGGCTGTCCCAAGGCCACATGGGATCTGCTGCCTTGGTTATCCCCAAAAAACCACCTGTTCCCACAGCCTGGACTGGGTAAAGTGTGAGGGACACAAGGTAGCTTTTATGGCACTGCTCCCTCCGCACACATCCAGGGGCTTCCCAGAGCAGACCCAGCCCTGGCTGAGCATTTGGGGCAGCTCCACAAAAGACAAGGGGAGAACTCAGAGGGGTGGGGGTCTCCTCCCACCCTGCCATGACCTCCTGCACCCATGGGGCTGCTAAAAATAGCGCCCACAATAGGGGCCCTGTCTGTCCTTGGTGGCACTGAACAGGGTCCTTCAGCAGGGACTGTCACACCACAGGAATGCTGCGGCGTCAGGGGGAAAATATTCCTCTGGAGCTGGGTGAGTGGGAATTGTGGGAACTGGGAACCGCTGCCCAAGCACGGCTTCCTCAGCACCAGGCCCTGATGGTGTCCCCAGAGCCAAGGATTTGGTGCCACCTTCCTTGGTCAGGACAGTCCCCACCTCCTTCCCAGCCCCTGGGACACCAAACCCTGCCGGATGGGGCCGTTCCAGTGGCGTGGTGACGGTGGCACAACCCCAGCCCCGTCATCTCTCTCGGGATGGTTTTACACACCCACCCCTCCCAACGGCCTCTGTTTTGTTTCCCTTGGTTCAAACAAGACAAGAAGACAAAAAAAACCCCACCTACCAACCCCCCAGCAGGGCACCTTTGCTTGGCACTCTGCGGTTTGTGGTTCCAACCCCACAAAACAATCGGCCCTGGCAACGTCTCCAAAACAGCCCCTGCCTCACCTGCCCATCCTGCCCACCCCATTCGATGGCACCACGGTCCCCAAATCCCCCAAAATGTTGGGAGTGCTGATCCCCTCACTCCTTTGTCACACCAGTTCCCACAACTCCTCCCCAGCCCATGGCCAGGCTGGTGCAGCATCGGGCACTGCAAAGCGATGGAGCTTGGATGGAGGCATCTCCAAAGAACAGGTGTGAAAAAGCAGGAAAGGAGCCAGGAGCCCCTTCCTTCGGGAGCAACATGGCCATGATTAGAGAGGAGAGCAGCCAGGGGCCACTCCAGGCCTGAGCTGCTCCTGTGCTGCAGCTCCTCTGCTCTCAGGAAGGGGGTGTTGGGAGGCCTGATAGAATCAGTGTCACACAATCTCATGAGTGGGAAGAGACCCACACAGATCATCCACTCCAGCTCCTGGTCCTGCACGGGACAACCACAAGAACCCCACCCTGTGCCTGAGCTCAGGGGCTGCCTCCAGAGGCACCTGGCAAAGCTCCAGGGGTTTTGTGAGCTTCACATCCCCCAGAGGTGGGATGCAACACCAGCTGGGTGTCTGGAGGAGACACAGGCAGAGCTGCTGCCCCCCCACCACCTGCCCCGGGCTGGAGGAGCCCTGGGGAGAGCCGAGCCCTGCCACGGTTGGGCAGCAGCGCATGGGGCTGGGTTTGCTCTCGTTTGCACGTCTGGCAGGTGGGGCAGGAGCCACTGAACCAGCCCTGGTCCCACCCTGGGGCGACCAGAAGGGCACTGAGGTAAAAGTGGGCAGGAGCTGCTGGGGGGGTCACCCTGAAGCCACCTGCAAGGGCAGGTGAAGGGCAGGAGGAGCAGGATAATAACAGCATCCCTGCATCCCAGCAGGGCCAGAGGAGCTGCTGGGCACAGGAGGGGGGTGCCTGCAGTCCCGAACTGCCATGGCCACAGATGCCCACAGGGACACTCTGCTCCAGCAGTGCAGGAAGGATGCTGCTGCTTCCAGGGATGCTGCTGCACAGGCTGGGGAAGGCAAGAACAGCCAGACCCCGGGAGTACAGCAGGGAAAGGGACAGCAAGGCAGCTGCTGGCAGATTTTTGGGTGCTGATGACCACAGCACAGGGGGGTTCTCGCCTGTGGAGGTTTCAGAGCAGCAGCACAGATCTAGGGGGAGGGGCAGCAGCACCTGAGCTGTCCTGAAAGAGACCCACTTTCCTTGGCACCGCCTTGACTTTCTTGCAAAACAGCAGCTGTGCTTTCACTGCTGGGTCACAGATAAGCATCGCTCACAAACAGAGGCTGGGGAGGCTTCAGGCTCTGCAGCACAGCCAGCTGACACACTGCACAGGGGCTGAGAGGCACATCTGGGCCCCATGGCACAGCCCTGTGGGTGCTGATAGCGAGGGGCAGGGCGAGGTCTGGCCTGGGCAGCTCCAGCTCGGTGCACAGAGTGCTCTGGGTGGGATAAGATCTGTGAAGGAGGCTGTTCCTGCACTGCCTCTCGAATTCCTAATGCCCAGCAGGATAACGAGGATGCTCTGAGAGGGACACTCAGGTCACTGGTGGCATCAGCTGGAAGGGACATTAACTCTTTAAGTGCTGGGACAGGTTTTAAAGGGTTCAGCAGCATCCATACAACCCCAGCCTTGCATCTGCAGGATCAGGGCTTGGTGTGCACTCACCTCACCTCTCCCATCCCTCTCTCCTCCCCTCTCCTCTGGAACACGAGGGGATGGCCCTGCCGTGTGCTCAGTGATGTGGAGCAGCAGCTCTGGTGGATGGAAAGCCCCAGGGTGTCAGTCCTGCCCACCACAGAGCAAACAAACGCCAGAAATTGGCTGTCAAACCACACTGCTGCTCAAGGGAGCCCAAAACCAGCTCAGTGCTGAACAGCCACGGCGAAACAGCAAGGTCTGAGCCTCCTGTGCACGGGCTGCAAACACCAACACAGAGCACAAACATCCAGCTGAGTTTATCCACGTGGTGCCAGGGCTTCTGCAGGATGCTGGTGGCCATGGGAATCATCAGAGGCTGCAGGATCCAGCTATGGCACAGCCCCGGGGAAAGCACAGCTTGCTTCAGCCCAGCTGGGCTCAGACATTGGAGGGATCTCTGCCCACTCACACCAAACACGGCTCTGCTGCTGAACCAGGGAGCTTAGACTGAGCTCAGCTGAGCCAGCCTGAGGTTTAGCAGTGAACACACATCCTGAGCCATCCCTTGCCTGGATTTCACGGATGTACTCTGTGTCATGGCAAAGAAAATAAAATCTGGCTTAGTGTGGAACCTCAGAATCAGAGAATCTCCTGAGCTGGAGATCCACCAGGATCATCCAGTCCAACCCCTGTCTCTGTACAGACACCCCAACAATCCCACCCTGAGTATTCCTGTCCAACCCCTACTGGAGCTCTGGCAGCCTCGGGGCTGTGCCCATTCCCTGGGGACCCTGGGCAGTGCCTGAACCCTCTGGGGGAAGCAGAACCTTTTCCTGATATCCAACCTAAACCTCCCCTGGCACAACTGCTCACTCAGGTCAAATTCAAGCTGGCCAAGTTTTGAGCGAGCTCCAAACCCAGGGGTTCAGGGCTGGCCCTCCCTGCAGCAATGGAAACTGAAGTTCACCAACTCCTGAGCAATTACATTTCTCCTTCGAAAAAAAAGATAAGAAAATTGCATCAACCTCTGTTGTAAGCAACCATGGCAACTTGTTAAAATAGGTCAAGATGTGGGGGCAGATAAGGCAGCTCTGAAAGGCTGCTCAGAGCTGGGTGAAGAACGCATCAAACGCAAACGGAGCTTCCGCCAAAATGCACCTTCTCACCTCAAAACGCGCCTCTGGGGCAGATAGCATCAGAGATGTGCTGGGGCCACCTCCCTGGGCACCACGGAAACAGGGCCTGCTAGCAGAACCTGCACAAGACTGTCAGGTCCTTACAGGCAGCACACAAAGCTCTGGGCATGAGGGATGTGATGTGTCTCTTCATCCTGCAAGGCCAGCGGGGCCACCACGAGCTGGCTGCTGGGTGTGCCCTCAGGTTGGAAATTGAACCCCAAGGTCTTGGTGTTCTGGGTTCCTGGCCTGGCAGAGCCCTGCTCTGCTCCTTGGGAGGCTCCACCTCCTCGGCAGAGCCACAGGCAGAGCCCAGACTCCGAGTTCCTCTGCTCTGGCCGCCAGACAGCACTTCCTCCTCTGAGTAAAGTGAGAGTAAAGCACAAAAAGGCCTGAGCTCTGCCTGAGTCCCCACGCTGAGCTCAGCTGGCCTGGGCCAGTCCTCCAGCATTTCTCAGGGCAGCCTGAGCAGGGTTTTTCACACTTACACAAACCCAGAGAGTGCAGAGTACTCAGTGCTCCTCCAGTTGGGAACCCAACACATTCTACTCGCTCTCCCCAGCACCTGCTCTCACTGCAACCCAGCTCCAGCTCCCTTTGCTTGGAAAACCCAGTGCTGAAGGTCCAGGGGCTTTCAAATGGCTTAGAGGACATCTCTGGAGTCACTGCCTGCCAGGATCACCTGTCCAGGGAGCTTTCCCAATAGCAAAAGCTGGCTCTGCTGCCTTGAGCACTGAATATTGCTCAGCAGCCTATGGAACAGGCAAACAGAGCTCCAGCTCGAGCATTTCCCAGTGATTCCAGATTTTCCTCTCCACATTTAAAGCTTCTCAAATGAAGCAATGAGAAAATAAATAAAAAGTCAGGCATTGCCACTTATTGATCCCACCAAAGTGCCTGGGCCAAGGGATTCTCTTCCCAGCTCCAAGAGGGGTTGGAAATGAGGTGAGGGAAAATGTTACACAGAGCAAAGCAATTGGAATTGTGCTCTGGCAGTGCACGAACCCAAGTCTCCCCTTCCTGAAGGCACTGCTCCAAGGACAGCCTTTGGGGTGCTAATATTCCTTGGAAAAACAGGAATATTAAATATAAAAACAGGACCCAGCTGCTGACTTCAGCCCCTCAGTTCTCTCTGGGAGTGGTTCCTTCGCACTCTTCTCTATGAGCTACAGCAAATGTGGAGGGAAATATCCAGCTTGGAAAAGAATGCTCCTGATTTTGCCAGCACCTCGGTGCCTCGGTTTCCCCAGCTGGTCAAATAGATCCCAGGCTCCTGCACACCCAGAGCACTTCCAGGTGCCGTAGGGAAAGGCATTGTCAGGAGAAAGTAGGAATAAAAATAGGAATAAAAAGAGCAACTTGTGCTCAGTGGTCTCTTTTCTCAGGAACATCGATTTCCACGGCACAGCAGAGAATGAGCCCCAGGTCACAGTCCCTGCTCTCCCTTCCAGCAGGTCCCCAACCCCAATCCATTCAGGAATACAGAGCACACTCATATTTTGTATGGACTTGGTAGAGTCTCATTCAGCAGGCAGGGCTGAGCTCTTTCTAACTAAAGCTGTAGCAACAAGCCACTTCCTTTTTTACACTCCTAAAATTATCTCCCCACCTTTCCTCCCTGCTGCACCTCTCCCCACCCTCACATGGGCTCGGTGTCAGCCCTGAGATGAGCCGTGCGTGGGAGGACACTCAGGGACAGTCACACCCCAGGATCTGCTCTGAGCCTGGTGATGATCTTTATCAGCACCAACTCTTTCCACCAGCTGCTCCCAGCCGGGGCAGCCCAGATCTGAATGTGCACAGCCAGGGGAGCAGGCAGGAGGCTGCCCCAGAGGTTTCCTCATAGCACAGGGAAAAGCCATGGCACAGAAGGGCTGGAAAGGATTAGCTCAGCTTTAGCTGGAAGTCCCATCCCACCAAGTTTCTCTCCTTGGAGATGCCAGATTGCTGAAGGGCTGTCATAAAGAGCCAGAGTTTCCATGGCCTATCACCTTCTCATCTCTCTCAGCGCAGGGAATGGAAAATGTTTGGGATGGCTCTGGCAGAGCTCCATCCCTGCCTCACACCAAGGTGTGGAGCACAGTGGGGAGAGGATCTGTCCCCAGCGAGACTGCTCCTGCCCCGGGGGGAAACCACAACCAAGAGGCCACCAGTCACCAGCACAGGGGGCTGGGGGCTCTGCAGCACCAGGAACCAAACCAGACCCAGCTCCTGCCATAGCCAGCCAGGGCCAAATGGAGAACAAGGCACTGAGTGCCCCGTGCTCAGCCAGGTGCCACATCCCCCTTGAGGTGTGGAATGTGTGGGATGCCCACGCTTGAAGGAGATGCAGCCCTGGCCGCAGAGACACCCCAAAACCCTCCCTCACACCAGCCACACCCAGCTGGGCAGCCCAGAGTGCCCCGAGGCTCTGCCCTGGCATGGGGGGGTGCTCCCCGAGGTGCTGGGGGGCACAGAGGGGTTCCCCAGGATCGTGCCCTACCTGTGTAGCCAGCCAGGGCAGCAGCAGGGATGACAGGCTTGTCCTTGTTCATGTCGGCCCGGTCCCTCACATAGTCCTTGAAGGTGCCCTTGGGCTTGTGGCTGGGCAGGGTGGCAGGGTAGTCCTCAGAGTCGAAGCTGTCGTAGGAGGGGACGCGCTGCAGGCTCTGGAAGGACGACTGGCTGCTCCAGGACTGCGTCAGGCGGTCACAGCTGTCGTAGCTCTCTATGCTCTCGAAGGAGTCCTGGCCTCCCAGCTTACCTGGGGGAGGCACAGCAGGTGAGACGGGCCTGGCCAGCTCAGGATGCTTCACCTGGCCGGCACAGGGTGTTTCACCTGACCAGCACAGGATGCTTCACCTGTGCACTGTGCATGCACAGGGGAACTGATGCTGTTCCTTTACATCCCAGCTCCAAAGTAAGCACAGCCAGATCTCCAATACTTTTAACTTTGCCATTCAGAGCAGGGCCAAGCCCTGGAAAACTTCAGGCAGAGAGAGAGAGGGGAAAACCCCAAATCTGGCCTCTCTACCCAAGACTGGAAATGGTCTCTCATTTCCAAAAGGCAATGTCAGAGATGTAATTCACTTTAGATACTCAAGACTGAGCTCAGGAGCCTAAACATGGACACTCCTCTTTCTTCAGAGAATGGTGAGGCCCTGCACAGGGTGTCCAGAGAAGCTGTGGCTGCCCCTGGATCCCTGGGAGTGTCCAAGGCCAGGATGGACAGGGCTTGGACCAACCTGGGCAGGGAGGTGTCCCTGCATATGGCTGGAGGTGGAACCAACTTTAAGGTCCCTCCCAAGTCCAACTTTCCTATGATTCTTTGATTTCTGTGATTCTCTTGCTGCTGAAGGATATTGGAGGTCTCCAATAAATCCCCCATTACATCTGCCAGCCCTATTCAAACACTGCTCAGGCACACCCAGCTCCTTTAATTTTGATGTTTCTTCCCAATCTCCACTGCAGCCTTTTGCTGCCATCTGTTCCAGCCAGCCCCAAATCCCTAACCAGCAGCAGGTTTGCTGGAGGAGCTGAGCCAATGGCTGAGAGCTCCAACAGCTCTTTCCAGCCCTGGTAAGGTGAGCACAGCTGGTTTGTGTCAAAGTCACTCTCTGGGGTATTTTTAGTCGAAGCCAGAACATGAGAGGCCAAATCCTCAGCAGTGCTGATTTACACCCCCCAGAGCCAGCCCGTGCAGCCTCTGTACTGAAACAGAGCTAAAAAAGGACCCAAAGAACAAACTGCAATTGCTGCCTCTGATCTCCCTGCTCTGCCGATTGCTCAACATCTTTCCTGACAAGCTACGAGCGTAACAGGATCATTCAAGTTCACTAATTTCCCAAACCCGGCTAAAAACAGCTGCTGGGATTGTGCAAGAGCTCCTGGAGAAATTTCCATTGGCAGAGCTACCCTCAGCCTGGGCCCAGAGAGCAAATCCCAGGGGATGGGGAACGTGGAAGGGCGCTGGCACACGCCCCCAAATATTTGTTGTGTTGTAGTTTGAAAAGCACTTGCTGTGAAAAGACTCAACTACTGCAGGCCCTGCCCTGATTGCTGGCCTGGAATCATTGGGAGCTGGGATCCATTGGCTTCATCCTGCTGGGACAGCCCTGTTTCAAACTCTTTTCTATTTCCTTTTAGTTTTTTTAGGATTTCACACTCCAATCCTTCCCTGAATCCTGCTAAGAGGAGCACAACGCTGCTCTGTGTACATTAATTGGCATAACCAATTCCCTGAGCAGTCCTGCAGCACAGGCTCATTTAGAAAAGGAATTAAAATCTGACAGAGATGTGATTTGTGTCAATCCATTGAAAATTCACCTGAATTCCACCTAGCTGGAACAATCATGCCCTGCACTTACTCAGGAGAAGCTTAAATGGGTTTGGCAGCTCCACTTCTCAACCAGCCTCCTTTGCTGACAGGGCAGAGAGAAACAACTCCCATGGGACCCCAAAATTTCCTCCTAAAGGCCCCACAGAAGGTGACTGGCTGGAAAACCTTCACCCTGAGGTGATGCTGAAGGGCTTGACTTTGTGTCAGACTAACCTTGTAAGACAGTGCAAGGTAAAGAGGGACATAAATATAAATTAACCAGGCTCTGCTTTAAGGCTTTTAAGGCTTTCCCCCGCTCCTGGGAGGATTTGTGTCCCCCAGGGGCCCTTCCATGGCTGAAATGCAGCACTGGTGTGAGCACGGCCCCTTGCAATCTGTGTTCAAGTCTTTGCTAACAGCACCATCCGGGGCTCTCTCTTCCCTCCCTTGAAACCATTTTTAGGTTTGCCACTGAGAACAGGCTCGAGGTACAGTTGCAAAAGCCTTCCTGAGCCATTGCACTGTGAGAATGATGAAATCACCTGTGTTGAAGAAAAGGTCAAGAAAAGGGAAAGGCATTGCTGAAATTTAGGCAGAAAAACAACCCCAAAAAGAGAAGTTTACCCGAAGTTAAAACCCTGCTGCCCTTCTGGCTCAGGTCACCTCTCTCAGAAGGAGAGGCAATAACACAAATAGCAACTTCTCTGTAATTAGCTCTCCCAGCTTGGGAAAAGAGTGGGAAAGTTCAAATGAGCTGAATGTGCAATGCAGCCCTGGAAAGCAGCTCTGGCTTTCAGAAAGCAGCTCATCCTGAGCTCTCTGGATAAATGGATTTAACTGCCTCACATCAAACCTGCCTCACAGCAACACGTCACTGTAATGAATTCTGGCCCGAGGACACCTGGATTCCATTCAGGGGGATGCAGGCAGGCCAATCTCTTCCCTGTGCCTCAGGTTCCCTACCTGGAATCCAGAGATAATGATCCCACTTGTGAGGGACTTTGAGCTCTGTGGATTAAACTTTCTGCTTTGAATGGAGACAGAGCCCCATCACCAGCGTGGCATCACTGATGTGATCACAAAGCAATCAGACATTGGACCCCATGTGTTGCCAATCTCATAACATTAATTGGAAGGGATTTGGGCTCAGATCCTCCAGAGTGTTCAGGTGTTTAAATCCCACCGTCTCAAACAGGAATCATGTACCTAAAACTCTTTGGAGAGGAGCATTTGGGGGGTCCTTAGCTCTGCTGCTGCCTCAGCCCCTGACACCTCGTAACAAAGCTCAGGAATTGGCTACAGCAGAATATTTCAAACAAGCAGCCATCAAATCCCTGGACATAATGGATAAAGACTTTGGATCACAGAGTGCAAAACACTTCAGAGCCTTGAACAGCAATTCTGGATAAGAACTTGTGAAGAATTTGTGGGGCTTTGCCTGGACTCCTAAAAATGGGATTTCTACAAGCACCCAGCAGTTTGTCCTCCCTGATAAAATGAAAGCTCAGTTTAATTTCACTCAGGTTCGACATCAAAGCACAGCACCAGAAACAGGTGATGTACAAACAGGCAGCAGAGGAGAGGAAAGGACAGAAGGGCAGGGAGGGCTCAAAGCCACCAGGGAAAGCAGCAGGTGTTGGGAGAGGGCTGTGTTGG